GAAAGCGGCGAGGTTTTAGGAGGGGGCAGGCAGCACGTTTGCACTTTACAACATCACTCGCAGTGCAGCGGGCTCAGAAGTAGGTCCTTCAGCTGGGGCTGAGTGAGTTGGCCCAGAGGCCCAGATTTGGGCCAGGAGTGGAGGAAAACACTGAGTGCCTTTGAAGGCACTTGATAACTCCTCACGTGAGTCAGAGACGGCAGGTGCCGCAGGCCAGGGAGCCAGGCGAGACAGCGGGAGGCCCGTGGAGTTGGAAGGCCTGGCCTTGGGTCCTCAGGGACTGGAGGAGAAGGACCCGATTTGGGAAGAACGCCTTGAGCGGAGGACCTGGGTTAGACATGCTCTCAGTTATACTGACAGGTCTGAATCCAAGGCAGTTTCAGGCCCACAAAACAGTGCAGGCCCTATGCCCCGCCCCCGGGGCCAGTGTCCTGGGCCTGCAGGCAGTCGGGTGCCTGTTCCTCTGAGTAAGGCCTTCAGTTGGGATTCTCCTCATGAGAGGACAGGACAGGTGGGAGGTCCCCAACTCGGCAAGGCCCTGGGCCTGCGGACCCAGCCTCCGTCACGCACACCCCAGGGCTAACTGCCCTGGGAGCGTCGAGAGATGGTGGGAGCCCAGGTACCCACCCCAGTGGGGCCAGGAGGCGTGGAGAGCAGGAGCCTGGGCCCAGAGCCAGGAGCACCCTGAAGTCACCTGGTCAAGAACTGCTGGAAACCTGGCCCCGCTGGACAGGTGTAACCAGGGGGCTCCCTGGGCCCCCGTCTCCAACTACAGCTCCCATGCTGCAGAGGGCCCAGGGCGGTCTGAGGATGAGACAAGACTGTGGTGGGCCTGGGCCCAGGGGACAGCCATTGAGGGCCACCAATGTGGACTGCTCCTCCGTGGGGTGGTTACAGCGGGACGGAGTGGGAGTGGGTTTTGGAAGCTTGGGTCTCTTTCCTGCCCCTGCCTCGAGGCTCCAGCTGAAGGTAACTTGCCAGGCAGGGCTGGAACAAAGCCATCTCTGTCCTTCCTGCAACCCAAGGTCAGCTCTCCAACAGAAGAGAGGCGGGTCCCACCCCTAAGGGCTCAAAGGGTCAAACTCGTTTGAAAGTGAGGAGACGCAGAGCTTGTATGACCCTCACAGAGCCCAGAGGTGGGTGCTGCCGCTGCCCTGTTTCACAGCAAAGAACTTGGGCTTCAAAGGGAGGAGGTGGCAGCCCGGGACCCTGGGCTGCAGGTGGGACGGAGCCAGCGCTCTGAAACCATGCAGACCGAGTTCACCGCGTGCTCGCAGGGGACTGGGCTCTTTGGAAAGCTGATCTTTCAGATGAAGTTTTTTTTTAAGCCTCATTATACAAAACAACGCATGTTCCTCACAGGAGCTCTGCCCCTGCCCGCTGCTCCTCAGTCGTCGGGCGTTAGACTGTTGCAAGCACGACGCAGGCCGCTGCACCCCCAACTTCAGTCTCCGGGTGACGCGGGGTATTCTCTGCCCTGTGGGGTCACATTCACTTCAGATTGCGGAACCTCTTCCTCTGCTTGCTCATTCGTTTTTGAACAAGGGAGGTTTGTCCAGGCCTGGCTGGGTGGGCGGCGGCGATCTTCATGCCCTGCCCGTGGCCGTCAGCCCCACTCAGACGCTGGGCCGGGACCAGGGGTCATCGCCCTGCTCCGGGCTTCATCCTCCCAAGGCCTGGCCAGTGGTTATTCAGAGAGAAAGTGGGAAAACAAAGAAAGGTTAAGAGCTGACGTCGGACTCCTGTCAGTGAAAGGCCGGTCTGCGTTAGGGAACACCCCTGGCTGGGTGTGCGGCTTAGGTAGGGCGCCCAGGGCGGGCGGCCCCCGGGTGGCTCCGCCTGGCTGC